TATAATGGCAGGGTCATGCACTTTGATTTGAACCTTTCAAAATTATTTTTACCAATGCAAATAAGGCATAGAAAATTATTCAGAGCCAAATGGCTCTATTGAAAGCAAATCTAGCATGAGGTATGAGGTAGCTTTGCACAAATTCTTTGTATCTGCTATAGGTTACATACACTGAATTAGCATAACACATGTATGCACTAAATTAGAACAAAATCTATATCAAACACTGAATTTTACTGAATTGTAACATAATGAAAAGTGCACAAAAGGTTCTGCAAAAGCTTCCATGAATTGAGTATCACTTCTTTACAAGTGTGATGGAGAATGATCTTCATTGCATGCTGCCTCAGACCTAGAGCAAGTAATTGCAATGAGAGACAAGGCAAACAGAACAAACCTCCCTCTGTACACCCAAGCACAAACGCTGCAGAATTCAACTCAATTTCTATGAATTTAGGGAGGGAAAAAATAGCAAGTCCCTGCTGCCTACCATTGCCTGTGATACCAAGAAGCCCCTGAGAAACATGGGCTGCATGGAGGGATTGCATCAATGAGGCAGTTTTGAAACACTTCTATATCAGTAAAGTCAGCAAAACGGCTCCAGAAAGTTTAAGGAAGAAACAGCAGGGTATTGTGAGAAATTGCTGATATAAATCCCTAACACAAGGAGCTCTAACACAAAATAGCCCTAAACCAATATAAAAATCCGAGGAGTGGCATTCACTGGAAAGAAATTAAACTGGGAATAGGTGCCTCAACACGCCCGGGCAATCCAAAGATGTGTATAAGAGGGCACACAACTCAGAGGCCATCAGATTGCAGCTCCTCGCTTCTCCTCGCTGACCAAGTAAGTCTTGTCCCATGTCTCTTGTCTCTGGGTGCAGTGGGGACAGGGTGCTTTGAGTGGATACTCTGGACTCAGCAGCGCTGGGGCAGAGCTTTGCATTACGACCCCGCGGCATCGTGACCCGCTCTCTCCCCATGATGCAGGTTCACCTGGCGGCTCCAGCATGTCCTTCTGCAACCCGCAGCCCAGCTCCCAGTGCTTCATGCCCTGCATCCCGGTGTGCCCGCCGCCCATGCCCAGCACCCCGACGTGCCCGCCGCCCTCCTGCGGCAGCTCCGGTGCCGGGGTCTACCCGGGGCCTGTCGTCAACGTCTACCCGGTGCCTGTCGTCAACCTACCCGGGGCCATGGGCAGCCCCTACCCGCAGCAGGGCATGGGGGGTTACACGGTGCCCCCGGGCTCCGGGTGCCCCCCACCGTCCAGCGGCTGCATGACCATCTACCAGCCCCGCTGAGCACCGTGCAAGAAGAGAAGGGGCACAGGGAGATCCGACTGCAGGACATCGATGCTCAGCACCCATGGGACCCGGCTCATCCTCCTCTCGCGCTCTCTTTGCATTTAGCCTCATGGCCACAGATCAACCCTGGGTACTCAAAAAGCAATTTTCTGTTCTTGCAACCCAAAGGCTCCATTAGCCAAATCCAGCCTATGTCCTGTCTGCTTGAAACCTGAACTCTAGCAAGGAAGAGCAGTGTGCTCAAAATAAATCATTTCTGTTTGCTTTCTTAATTTTCCCCCTCACCTTCCTTCTTGATTTCCACTGCCTTGTGCAGTGTTTTGCTGGAAATGTCTCCTTGCTCCCAATAAACACTTCTGGTTGCAGCCTAATAGCGTTTGTTTCCTTTTGTGTTTCTCTGTTTTGGGGTAACAGAGCCTCTGCAAACTACCCAACCAAACTGTCTTCTTAGCTCCAAGAAGAGGCCAGCACATGAGTGTCGCACTCTGCAGACTGCATATATGTATATATTTATATATATATAAAATATTCTGGGGAGTCATTCAATAGGAAATACTGCTTACACCACATAGAACTGCTAACATGTCTGATTTAATCTTTACAAGGAAACAGATATGAGAGAAAGCACACAGCCACTCCATAAAACTTCTTAGACCAGAACCAAGTACTAAATATGCACCCAGAAAGCATTCCATAGAGGCAGCTCATCCCTGCTCTCTCTGCTTTTCTGGGGCTTTTTACCAGAGCTATAATAATTCTTTATAACACAGAAATAAAATTCTCTCTATACAGCGATCCAAAGAAGGAACATTAGACACTGCAGTGCAGCAGAGGGAACTTTTCAGAGATAGAAATTCAAAACCAGTGAATGGTCTGGAGAGGAAATCTCCAAATGTGCATTCATTGCCCTTCTTGCTTTCACAGCCAGCTTCCTGTGGTGAAAGAACTACATCAGCTTGAAGCATAAACAGCTGACAGCAGATTTTTTTAAGCTTCCTTACCTTATGGCACAGAAAAGGGAAAACTCCAAGCAGAGTCCTAGAAAAAGAGAAGCGGAATCTGGAAGCAAAGGGGCTCAGCAGGCTTAGGCAGAAACACAAACTGCAGGAAAATGAAAAAAGGGCCAGGAGCACCCACTAAATAGGGAACATTTACAGGGCCCACCTGGGACTAACAAGTAATTGCTGAGGTGCAGGTGACCCATGATCCACAGCTGGGACTTGCTACAACATTATCTGTGCCCAGGGGTGTATTGCAAGACAGCCAGCTGCTCCTGCGGTCACCTGATTGGAGTTGGAGTTGGAGTTCTGAGCCAGCGTAGGCTAAGTTCAGTGCTTTAAGAATAAGAGAATCAGGGAGGGAAGGCTCTGATCTGGGCCAAATGTGCAGTGTGGATAGAGCCAAGTATGTCTTTCCAGGGACACATGCTTTGATCTGCACTCTGTGCTGTGCCAGGGGCACTCTGCCAGCTGCTAATGTCTCAGCATCCCACATCCTTGCCATCCTTCTCCCACAAATGCATCCCGGCATGAACATGAGGGCTCTCCTCCCCTTCGTTTCCTACATAGTTTTCTGTTCCTAGTAATTTTCTAGCAGTCCAGACTAGTGTCCTCCAAGGGCTAAAACAAGGAAAATGCAGGGGCAAATCCCTAATTTAGTAGAGGGCCAGCACGAGACTTGTGAATGGCTAAGGGTCTTCAGCCCCCACCTCACCACAGGGCTTCCCTAGTTATGGATGAGCATGATTATCTCTATCATATTGATTCATAAAAGCGGAGAAAGCAAAACCAGAATGCTAATGTTATGCTGCAGCAGGATCTTTAATAGGAGAAGGAAAGTTTACACTGGTAAAACATGATCATACAGAAACTGGTCAAGTAGGTTTTCATGTATCAGGAAGCTTCATTTCTAACGCAGATTTCTTCTCTGTCATTTCACAGTGCAGTCCAGTTTCCATCTCTTTACATCCCTGTTAACTGACATCAGCAGGTGGCAAGTGCAAGAAATCACCGTACAGAAACTGCTCCATTTTACAGTGTTAGACTAAATGTAGAAGGAACTTAATGTGTTTGAATATGTGTACCATAGAAAAAAGAGAGGAATACATTTATAGTTAAGAAATGAGAAGTGCATCAGCAGATATGAGCACAATATGACACAAAGTGTTAGAGAGCATCAGCCTTTTTGGCACCAGTGACTGAGAGACCCGTCTTCCTCGTCTTACTCTTGAGTCTGGATCTTGCATGTGGTTTCCTGACTGCT